CGTGGGCGGCTGACACATGCCCTTGGCTCCCGCCGCTGCTGATTTTCTTGCTGGCGTTTTCCCTCCGCAAGCCCCTTCCCGGGCTGTTCTCCGAGGAAAAGCCGAGGTCTCTGCGTAACTGCTGCAGAAGGGCAAGAAAAGCCGTTCCCCGCTTCTCCCGGAGCAGTCCCTTGCCTCTGGGAGCACCGGCTGCCTCTGCTCCGTAATTGGTGTCGTAACCAGAGCAGAGAGTGCGGGTGGGAAGGCTGAGAACGCCCATACCCTGCGGAGGGAGGATGAGGAGAGAGGAGCCGGGATTTGGGCTCGGTCTGTTCGCCTTGGCTCACGGCGATGCTGGTTAATCTTTTCAGCGCTGAGCGCCAGCTCTGTGGCTTTAGTGGCTGTTGACCTTTCTGCTCTTGAGGCTCTGGTGTCCGGGTCCCCTGCCGCAGGGAAGGGGGTTTCACTGCCAACGCGCTCTGCTCTGAGTTTGGAAATCCAAGAGTAAAACACAGCGGGGACGAGGGGGGAGGACAGCCAGGGCTGAGGAGGCTGCGCCCAGCAGGTTGGGGACGCCGCGCGCTGCCTGCAAGCTGGGAGATGCTGCCTTGCTCAAGGAGGGGCTGCTTCCAGCTCTCCTCAGCGGGAAGAGGAGTTATCCTGATACAGAGCCCTTTGCGGTGAGGCACATGTTGTAAACAGCGATGCATTCCTCGGCGCAGAGCTGCGGGTGGCAGCCTCTGCCCAGAACAAATTCCTTCCCGGTCCAGGTTGATGGCTCCTAAAATCCCCCAAGCTGTTACTCCTTAAAATTAGCTGCTGTTTCGCTTTCTCTAGGGTTTGTCAAGACTGAGCGGGGAGAAGAGTCACGATGAAGAACCAAGGCGGGGAGACCAAAGCAGGCCCGCGGCCTGCTGGCTCTTCCAAAATGAGCGGCAGCTTGGTGCTGGAGGAAGGCGACTCAGCGGAGGCCGCAGCAGCCCTGGAAGGTGGGGAGTGCCCCGGGTCTGGGCTGTGCCGCTCCCTGCCTGCGGCTGACGGCAGTGCGGGCAGGGAGGCGCAGGAAACGCCTGAGGGTGGGTTTCCAGCCTGGAAAGAGTCAGGCTGGTGCTTCCTCTGTGTGAGGGTGGGCCGCTGCATCCAGCTCCTCTGACCTGTATGAGAGCAGCTGTGATTTCCGGGGCAGAAGATCCTGGTTTCTTCCTATTTCCATGTGTGTCCAGTTCTGAAGTAGCTACCACTTCCTGAGCAAAGCGTGGAGTTGATTCTCGCCTGAAAACGATGGGGTGCTTTATCGTTGCTTAGACCTTAAGGGTCCCATTTGGAAAATGTCAGGCAGCTCTTTCCTCGGGGCAGTGCTCAGTGACCTGTCCTGTTACTGGTGCTTCCTAAAGAGAACTCTCTGGAAGATGAAAGCCAGGTGTAGTCAAGTAGGTTCTTGCTTAAACTTAACCATGCCTTGTATTCTGATGCTGAGGGCATGTGGGATGTAGGAAACGCACAGCGCGTAGGGTCAGTTTAATAACCAACTGCTGCAAGTCTCTCTTTTGAACTCAGCTTTGGAAGCAAAGAAGCGTCCTGAAGGATGCGTTGCCTGCTCTTTCACTAAGTGTCCGCTGTTGGGGACAAGGTGCCTTTGATCTGAGACAGTACAGCTGCTCTTCTGTGTGAGGAGAGAGGCTAACACAGGTTTAAAAAAATCTATTGTCATGTAAAAAAGCCTGGCTCTGGGGATGTTAGCAGGCGGTTCCCATGAGGGAAAGCTCACGAGCAACCTGCTTTCGTTAAAGGATGGAGGGGAAGGGGAGGGGGGGTTAGAATTTTTGCTCTTGACAGATGTCAGGGGCTTGGTCATGCTCTCATGATCAAAAGAGAGGCTGTTAGGAATGCACCTCCATTGTCAGGGCAGCTGGCTGGAGACGCAGCCGGAACAAAGCAGCTTATGTTGCTGGAAGTTTAGCCAGCCTTGGTGCAGTGGGGAGCTCGGGAAACCTTCCCTCTGCCGCGTGTTTGTAGGGACCAGAGAATAGACGGTGTGGGGGAAGCCTCATGCTTTTGTGTTCCCGTCTCCCACAGCTCCTCTTGTGCAGGAGGACACCAAGTCCTCCCGGCCTGCCGTGCGCGACGTCTCCGAAGAGCTAAGCAGACAGCTTGAGGACATCTTGAACACATACTGTGTGGATGCCAGCCAGGAGGGCCCAGGCGAGGACGGCGGGCAGAGTGAGCCCGTGGAGCCAGAAGAAGCTGAGAAGTGTCGTAGCGAGTCCCCGAGGAACGGCGACCAGGAGTCGGGTGGCCCCGAGATGAACGGGGAGAAAGAAAGCACGAAGGGGAATGAAGAGTTTCGACCCGTCGAGGAGTGTGGGGAGCGGGATCAGAAGAAGGCTCAGGAAAAGAAGAAAGCCAAGGGCCTGGGTAAGCGGTTCCCTGCTCTGGTTGTGCTGCCAGCCTGAGAGCTTCGGTGCAGACATTGATTTTATACTGCGCTAATTGCCCTCGGTGAAATAAGTGTCTTGGGTACGTGATGTGCAGCAGTGTCTGGGAACGATACAGCATCCTCTTCCATGGTTTATGAGGAAATGTGCCGGGTGCTGCCAAGGCGCCAGCTGTTCCTGGGTGCTGCTGCAGCCTCTGAATTCTGTGGATTTCTCTTCTGCTGGACACAGCTCTCTCTAGCCAGCCCAGGGGTGGTTTTCCACTCAAAACCCCAGGTCTTTCCCCAGCTGCTTCAGTTGTTCACCCAGTGTATGTGGTGAAAACTGTGGGGCAGAGCCCTGCGATGGTAGCTCTGGCCCGGGGCAGGCAGGGCTGTGAGACCTGGTTTGTCTCTCCCATCTTTACCCTTACGAGCCAGAACTCCGTGTAAGTGATTTTTATTTATTTTTTTATTTTTTTTAATTTTAATTCTGTGTCTCATTCCAGGCAAAGAAATCACTTTGCTGATGCAGACGTTGAACACCCTGAGCACGCCAGAGGAGAAACTAGCGGCACTGTGCAAGAAATACGCTGAGCTGGTGAGTGCTTATTTCTGCGTTCCGGGCTCTGGGGCTGGGGGAGGTCACTGCAGCACCGAGCATGGGAGCTCCTTGATGAGGCAGAAGATGGCTGCAGATTTTTTTTCTCCATGTTGAGAGGGTCAGTCCAGGAACACATAGGTAGCTTTGCAGTGTACATTCTGGGATCTCTGCAGTGCTGGGTACCCAAATATCAGAGGACAGGCGTTGCTTGGCCCAGCCAGGCGTTGTCGTTTGCAGAAGTGTAAGCATGTATGGGAGTATTTTTGGTAAACGTGCATGTAAGAGGACTTCAGATCTATTTTCTCTCTGCTCCTTGCAACGTGGAAGCTGCATCTCTTGCCCATCCTGTCCCTGTGGCCGGGTCTGTTCTGCTGCGCCTGTGTCCCCCGATCTCTCTGCAGGCGGGGTGAGGTGCGAGTCGGCAGGCCCAGCCGGGACTGAGAACTGCACGGACACCTCTCCTGTCTGCACCGCTCCGTTGCTGCATTTCTGTTGATAATTTCCTAGCGGGAAGTGTGTGTTTGGCAGAGTCTTCGTGCTGCTACCTGTGCGCAGTCAGCCATACAGCATGCACAAACTCTGATGCCACGTTTAACCAGAGCCAGGCGTAGATCTAGTTCCGTGCATGGATCTGGTATAAAGGAGAGGTGTGGGACTGTCTGTGCGTGTCCGAAGTGGATGCGTTCAGGTTTTCCCTGTGCTCAGGGCTCTGCTCCATTTGAGCAACACGCGCGTGGAGGTGCTGGATGAATGTGCGAGTCTTTCAGATTCCAGCAGGACACGAATTCAGGAAGGAGAAAGGCCCTGTCCAGAGGGCCTTGGGCTCTGCATCAGTCCTGTTCTGCTCAAAAGTGGCATCTTTTGTGTTATAAAGCTCTCGTCCTCCAGAGCGCGCTGTTTTGATCCCTGTGGCCCCTCGCAGGGGCAGAGCCTGCTGCCCTGGCCTGTTGTGCTGCATCCGTGCCCTTTGCTCCCCTGTCCTAGCTGGAAGAGCACCGTAACTCCCAGAAGCAGATGAAGATCTTGCAGAAGAAGCAGACGCAGCTGGTGCAAGAGAAGGACCACCTGCAGAGCGAGCACAGCAAGGCCATCCTGGCCCGCAGCAAGCTGGAGAGCCTGTGCCGCGAGCTCCAGAGACACAACCGCACCCTCAAGGCAAGTGTCTCCTGGGCACTATTCCAGGAGCTGCTTCATCCCAAGCGCTTGCATCACTTGCTGTGGGGCTGCGAGCCGTTTTGGCAAGCTTACCTTTACCGGTGATTGCCCACAGTTTGCTGTCCAGGGCAGTGCTTTGATTTACTGTTAAGCCACCATTATCCACTGTGCCCGAGTGTTATTTTGGGGTATGTTCCCTGGGGAAAGGCCCAAAGGGGGCTGTCCAGCAGTGGCCCGAAGTCCCTTCCCAGTTGATAGATGCAATAGCGGGAGGCTGGGTGGGTTTGCTCACCTGCCTAGCACAGAGGATGATGTGTCCCTGCTCTCTCTGCCCTCCTCACGCAGGAGGAGGGTGTCCAGCGTGCGCGGGAGGAAGAGGAGAAGCGGAAGGAGGTGACATCCCACTTCCAGGTGACACTGAATGACATCCAGCTCCAGATGGAGCAGCACAACGAGAAGAACTCCAAGCTGCGCCAGGAGAACATGGAGCTGGCGGAACGGCTCAAGAAGCTCATCGAGCAGTACGAGCTGCGGGAGGAGGTGGGTCAGGGTGGGAGGCCTGGCGCAGGGCTGCTCTGGTGCATCTGTTCCGCCCAGGGAAGCGTGTTTCTGCTGCTGGAGGGGAGAATGGGCCTCTGGGCTCTTCCCTTGGGGTCGCTGGCTGAGCATGTCGTGACTGGCGGTGTTCCCTCGGCAGCACATTGACAAGGTGTTTAAAAAC